AGTCTTGAGCATTACAGTGTTCTGCAGCATTTCCTTATATATGATTTTAAACTGCTTTTGTTTGTTTCAAAGTATTATTCCTAAGCCCTCTGAAAAAAAAATAGGTTTCACAGTAGCATATACATTGTTAAAATGAATAAATATATAAAATTGCCCTACACATTCCGTGTTTCTTCTTCAGGCATACAGTTGGTTCTGTGTGATACTGTGTTATCTACATACATTTTAATTTATGGTAGTCAGTAGCATTGATAATTTTACATACCTCTTTAGATACCATGTATACAATCTACAGCTTGCCAGTTACATATGGTCACTGAACACATACATTGCAGCATGACACAAGAGCTGAAAACCCCACTGAATTTTATTGTGATTTCCTGGTTATGAAGGCAATCTGGCTGCAACATCTGTCATCCATTGATTGCCAGGATTAATTTGGCTGATCTGGCTGACTAGTTAGGTATATTCTGCCTCTCTCAGAGTAGATGGCTGTTTAGGTGGATATATTTTGCCTCTCTATGTGTGTGTCCCTCAAAAAGATTGGAAGAGGATGTCCAGCCCAGATAATGGGGCTATGATAGCTTAAGAAAGACCAATGGTGCCATTCTCCATATTTAGATTGTGCATCTCACTCTGTCTAGCTGATTGTTACTCCCATCTTCACACAATATAGTTTATATTTTGGCCTTACAAGTGATCCTAGCTAATTTAGATTATCCAACAAACTATAGTTAAACATTCCATGGATCATTGCAATACATGGCACCACATTGTGTATGTATGTGTTTTGTTATGGGAGAAGTATTGAGTGTATGTAAATATAAGAAAGGAAAAGGGGAATGTACCATAATCACCTACTATGTAGCTCATAACCCACTGTTTTTCATTTCTGAAAAGCAGCAATGAAAATTCTATTTAATTGTTTTGTTTAAATGAGGTATAGTTAACAACAATTGAATAAAATGTATTAAGAATCTCTGATTGTCACTGTAGAATAACAAAAATATGTTCTTTGTAATGAATCTCAATGATAGTATATTGATTCTTGTGAATGCTTACTACTCTATTCATGATTTTCCCCTTCAATAATGTGTCTTCCAGGTAATTAGTTAGGCATTTTAAATATAGAACTGAATCCTGTACTTCATTTAATGTTAAAAGGATAGATATTCTTACAAACAAGCAACTAAAAGGGTGTTAAACATAGGGCTTTACTTCCTTCCACCCATTTCAATGATTTCTCAGAAATATATTCAGTAGTTAAATATTAATCATAATGACGACTGAATAATAAAAATACAGTAACTTTCAAATAATTACATTTGTAAATATAAATAAACTGACAGCCTGTACTTTTAGTCTTAACTAATTTTTTACTGGCTTTGCTTTTCCAGTAAAACTTCCTTTAAAATGATAAAAACAAAATTGAGATCTGTTTTTGCATTATTAAAATTCTTCCTAAATAAGCAAATATATAAAACTCCTGTACAGAAAACAGAAGCACCCTAATAATTTTATTTTTAAAAAATCCTAAATAGAATTTTAACTAAGGCTCATGTGTTATTTATATCATACATATCTATATACAGTATACAAATATTGCCTGTCTAACATAAACATCAAAACAATATTGTATGACATCAACTTCTAAACCTTGTCACATCAGATACCAACCTGATGTGACAAGGGATATCACATAAAGGAACAACAGATAAGAACTAGTAAAAATCTAGTTTCTAGAAACTTGCTCATACATTTCAAGTGTTTTTGTTTACTGCACAAGGGTGGGCATAAGTAATGTGTGAAGTCACTGAAATCAGGATAAGTACTGTCCACCTACATTGTAAAAGTAATTTCATACCTAATGAAAGAAGCATTTTTACTATAGATTAATTTGTTATAGTATGTTTCTATGTACATTTTTCAAACTTTCAGAAACAACTGTCTGAAGTTATGTTTCTTTAAATAGATTTCCTCCATTTTTTGATGACAACCCATTTGGAATATATCAGAAGATTCTAGCTGGTAAAATAGATTTCCCCAGGCACCTGGATTTATACGTAAAGTAAGTGATCTTAAAAATGAGTCCATTTTCTTTATTTTCCATTTCAGCATTATTTTAAAGTGGGAGGAGGCAATATGTGCAGGGTGCATGTAGCCACCAGCCCTTTCCCCAATCAGATTGCACTGCTACATTTTAGCGTCCAACTTTGAAACATACAAATATTTTTAATTAAAAACACCAACAATAGCTATGTTGATCATCTGCAAGGCTTATTTGAACCATTTGCGTTTGGATTCTGTTTCCACTTCACCAAAGGCTGACAATTATGGCCCCAGATCTTCAGATGACGCTACCTTATCCTCATCATACCTCCTATAATCCCATGGTGGCGGGGGGGGGGGACTACCTACTCCTGTTTTTTTTAATGTTTTTTTAAGTTGCTTATCACATGTTAAAGTGTCATATTAAATACAGATCATCAATGTATTAGAAATCCTATGATGTGAACAAAGGACTCTGCTAGTAGCAGTGGAAGTTTCCTGCTGTTGATCCATGTTCTTCCTTATCCAGGACCACA